ATTCTATGATTCTATGTTGGTACATATTTTTACAAGCACAGCATGCAGGCTCTTCTAGCTGGCAAAAACGTAGAGCCAGTAGTGGTGATTGTTAAAAAATAATGTTCTGTAGGAGAGCATTTGCTTTATTGAATAGTGTTATTGTGCTCTTTGTATCTGTTGGTTTTTTTTTTTCATGGAAAAGAAATAGGAGGCATTACTTTCACATCAAGTGGCATATAATGAATTTCACAGAGTCGCACTGAGATACAACCATATAGGTCCCATTAAACTGGTGAGAAATGCAGGGCCTTAATGATTAAAGATCCTGGAGAATGCATATTATGTGGAGATTTATTTTAAAGGAAACTCCTATACTGGATGTCATTGTTGCTGCAAATTACTGCTATAGTCCCAAGTTCCCAGTGTGGTACTTAGGGGTAAATTCTAATGTGCTGTAAATCCAATTTTCAGGGGGCTATAAATTAGTACCTAAAATCTGAGGTGAAACTTGGTATGATGATTTTCAGCCCAGATGCCTCCTTCTCTCCTGAACTATATTTCCACAGAGTTTGAAATTTTATTCAGAACATTTGTGCCTTTCCTTAATTAAAGACTTTCAACAAAGATTATTTTCTAAATCCATGTTTCCCATGTGGACAATTACTAGGAATAATTGGATGCTATGTGTCTGTAGCCAGCATATGACCCAGTATCTTTATGGTTCTGAAGTCTACTTTGCTTCATTAGCTCACTATACTGAGACTGTTGAAAGACGATAGCTGGACATGTGCATTAGTAGCTTTGTGATACACCTCCCATGTGTCAACAATGACACCCATTAAAGCAAAGAGATAAAATGGAAACAATTGCCCTAAAACCACAGTGCACCAAAGACTTCTCAGATCTGGTGCTGTTTCAGGGAAGGGACCAAGTGATGCAGTGGTTATAGGTCCTGTGTAGTCCGAGGGCAGATTTAGCATCCTTGTCAGCTCTAGCCAACCTCTCTCTTATTTGACCTAAGTACAGACTGCAAAGTGACCTGTGATTAATTTATTTAAGATTTAAGAACAAGAACCAGAAATTACACGGTTCTTCTCAACATATTTTTGCTTTGCCTCTAGCAAATTAATCAAATGAGAACCCAATTTGTTTTAGATTAAATGAATTCCCTCTGTTGACTGTGATAATCCCCAGTTGAACCACCTTCCACTCCCTTGAAGCACTGTACTGTAACTTATTTAACTCTACAACTGTATTTATTAGAAGTGTTGCAGTAACGGTTTATAACTGGAAGGCAAGCAGCATTTGGCATTTCTACTCAGGAGGGAGGTTATATTGCCAAAATATCTCCAAGCCTTGGTTTTGGATCAGAGCTTTTGTTTTGTGCTAACTACTTAAAATATTTGATGTACTCCTGCTAAGCTACAGATAGCCACTTATTTTCAGCAGATTGCTGTGAGCTCTGAGTGCTGATCTGTTGCTGGCCTCCAAGGGGATTCTTGTAAACCCGATACAACAGGTCTCCAGTGGTCCTTCTCCTGTGCAGTTAAATACAGTTGGTTGTTCATGTGTTTTGCCCAAAGTTCTCTTTTATTAACAGACCCTCAATCTGCCAGAGCTCAGTAGAAGTCAGTGGAATAAGAAATGGCTTTTTTTTACCAGATCTTTTCTTTGTCTTTCTTATTCTAGATTACCTCTTTCAGCTGACAGCTCTGTAGAGCAGTCTGTAACTAAGCTGTGGATATCTTTTCAGCACTAAGGAGTAAATTCTTCCATCTAGGATGTAAAAATGGATTCTGCTTTGTTATCTGCTTCAGGGAGGAGTATGTTCTTCTTATTTTGCACCTAAGAAAATATTCCTTGCCTACATATAAATATACACCTATGTAGCAGAAATAATGCATTCATTCCAGTTGTCTTTGAAAAAACCAAGGGCTGAATTTAAACTGAAGTAAAATATTTCAAACTCAGAGTTTTCACAACATCAAACAAAGCTGTCCTATAGCGGTTGCAGCCACATTGAACTGTATGGACAGCACTGATGTAAAATATTATATCATTTTTCTTAGTGTTAGCCACAGATACTCAAAACTCATGTATTTCTTCCACTCCGATTTTTTATACTGTCTTTAAAACCATAAGGTATAAAAACATCTGGAGGTTTTCTTACTATTTACTTTCCTAATTGGTGTGTATTTTTTTAACCTTTGTAATTCATCACAGACCACGTTTTCTCTGAAAAACCTACACATTTGCTTTTCAATGAAAAATTGGATTCTCCTGTATTTCCCTAATTCAAAGATATCACAGAGCTGTGACATTTTTGTACACTTTGTATGAATCAGGAAGGTTTTCAGCGCTGGAACTTGTGGCAGAGAACTGAGCGTTTGCCAGCTCGTCAGCACAGTGCTGCGAGGAGCAAGCTGGGGCAAATGGCTTTGCCTCAGGACTTACATTTATGGGCTTGTTTCCCAGCTTTATTTTTAATATTTCAAACACAGGTTTCTCATGAAGAACCACTAAAACTTTCAACACCTCCTACTCTCTTTTTTTCCAAGGGATGCAGCGCTGCTAATTTCTGAAAATGTAGTCTGATCTCATTTTATTCATTATCTGCCTCGCATCTTTATTTCCCTTAAGCTTGTTACACAGCAGTTAATATTATTCAAGATTATTTATATTACATTTGAAATATGTAAACACTGCATTTGCAATGTATAATTTGGGCAAAGGTCATAATGGTGGTTGTGACTGAAAGACCTCTGAGCTTAGATTGTTAAGGCTTCCCCTAAACTACTTTGTTGCCTGCTGCTAGACCAGCCCCTGGGATTAAAATAGATCTTATCTGATACCTGGATTTTAGAAACAGGAGGCCAGCCCATTTGCTGACAAAACTGGCCTAGCCCATCCCCACTTCATTTCAAATGCCACTACTGCTCTTCAAAATGAGAACTGGAAAAAAATGATCCCTAGCAAGCATGTAACATTGAAAATATTAAGAAGTACATATGTATATATATATATGCATACATCCACATATATATATATACGTATATAAGAGTCCAGAGAAACAGCAGGATGACAAATGCCTTACTAGAAGTGAACACAGTTGGCCTATGTGTGAAAAACCAAATGGGTGATTTCTCCCTTCAGCGACTGACGAGAATAGAGGAAGGCCTTTGGCCCGGTCCAGTATTAAATGTGGAGGTTGGTGGCCCTGCCTGTGGTGGGGGGTTGGAGATCCATGATCCTTGAGGTCCCTTCCAACCCTGGCCATTCTGTGATTCTGTGAAATGCCCTTCAGAGGTACAGGGCCCTCCGCTGCTGGCAGCAGCAGTGAAGGGATGTGAGGGCCTGAGACGGTGGGAAGGCACAGCCCTTGGCATAAGGGGGGCCCTGGGGAGGAGGTGCATGGGCCTTGGAGATGGGGTGCAGGATTAGGCCACAGGGCTTCAGCACGGCCTGGCTGCACAAGGCAGATATGGATCAGACAAGGCAGGTTATGCTCCCAAGAAACAGGAGGCGATTGTGTTAGCAAGAGAAGGCAGGAAGCTGAGGGCTCTGGCACTGATAACTTTTCTTTGCAGCTTTTATCTTTTGTGCAAGAGGGGAAGGCTTTTCCGGAGTAATTTACTGCTGGGATGAGAGGCTTGGCAGTTGACTCCTTGTGGTCACTTGGTTTATTCGTATTTGTCGTGTTTTGTCAGGTGACGTCCTCAGATAATATCTGGTACAATGGGGAGGTGTTCTTTGTTAGAGGATAGTTGCTGCCTTCAAAATCAGGATATGTTTGTTTTGCCTGAGGAGTGCCCACTGGTTCTTGCATTTCCTTGCATAAAATGAGGGTGAAGATAGACAGGAGCACCTCTGGCAGTGAGCAAAATGAGTATTACCTGGTGAAGAATCTGAGTTTTGAGCTGTTTTGTTTAGACTTTGCTGAGCCTGGATGAGGGCCATATGTTTCCTTCACTTGAGTCCACCCTCCCACAGCCATGCTGTGTCCCATGTCAGCTGCAGCACCAGCCTGGTCTCACGATGCCAGCAGCCTGTTCATGCACAATAAGGCTGTGGACACCAAAGGGCTACCCAAGCCCAGACTCATTCCCATCATGCATACTTATCTGTCCAGAACCTGCTTTTTCACTGCAGCTCATTAAATGTTCCATTTTGGTGAATTCCTTGGCTGGCCTCTGTGCTTCTGTTTCTTTCCGTCCTTGTGTTAATGTAGGATCTTGATGGGACATTTGCAAGTGAGGCGTCTTTCTTGGCACCCAATGCAGCAAGGGTAGTGTGAAGGCTCAGCAAGCTGAATCTCCATAGGATGCAGCAGCTGTGTTCAGTGGGATGCAGATTTCTGCCTTGCCTCTACTGCAGTGCAATCAAAAGCTCAAGAGCAGGCATATTTTGGTAGGGGCTGCTGTCAGATGCTGGTGTTTTCCGCATGGTAGGCTTGCAGCTCTTGGGAAATGATGCAGTAGGTGCTGATTTAAAAGAGCCCTGGAGTCTTCCCCAGTGCATGAAATGGCGTGTGCAGAAGAGGAAATGGATCTCCTCTGTTTCCTTCTAGAAATCAGGAAGCAGGAGTTGGGCAGTGGGGTTGTACTGCTCTTCCTGGGAGCCAGGTTCCAGCAGCAGGCACAGCTCTCGCCTTGCCCTGCCTCAGCAGAAGGAAGGGCTGGGCTGGTAGCAAGAGACTGAAAAAAAAAAAAAAAGTAGTGAATGCATTTTTTTTCTGCTGATGCCAGCCTTTTCCTTTGAGTAATTGCTGCTGGAAGGAAGTAGAAAGAAATTAAGCTTCTGACAAAATAAATATGTGATTAATAGCATTTTGCTGCCTGCCGACTGAAGATGAGAACAAAAGAGCTGAAATATTTTTTGTCATCTGTTTGTATTTGTCAGTTCTCTATCCCACTGTTTATCAGATCTTGGGGTAAAGCTAATGCACCTGTAACAAATTCTTCCCGTATTTTTCGAGTGGTAGTAGTAACCTGGTGCTCTGTCTTTCTTTCTGTCTCCAGACGATTTTGCAGAAGAGGAGGAGGTGCAGTCCTTTGGCTACAAGAGGTTTGGTAAGTGGCAGCAGGTCTTTCACTGCTCTGTGGCGCAGCACTTACCTTAAGAGAAGCAGCTGCTATTAAAGCCTCCTTTACTGGCCTGGCAGCATGATAACATGTAGGTACAGTCCCATCAACCCATTCAGTCTAATGTCTGGCCAGCAGCAGGTGTGATGAGAAGTCATCAGCTTTATTACTAGACCCTTGCATGAAGCAGTGTTATAAAAACCAACCCCACACTTCATGAGTGTGCCAGATGTGCATGTACAGAAAAGTACATGCCCCTGAAACTTCTGCTGCCCCTGCTGTGCTCTTCATAGATCCTAAATTATGCACAACATGGTCAGCTGTGGTCATATGGGACCTCTTCATGCTCTGCAAAGTCAGAATGGCTGAGCCAGGAACAATTCTGTGAGTTTATCTCTAAAAAAAAGGAGCAAAAGCTTATGGGATGATTGTGTTCTGAAGCAGTCCTGGTGATCAAAATCCCTTACCACAGCTTTACCTTCTCCTGATTTGGGACGTGGTGATAACTTCAAAACATGGTTAAACTCTCCTGCACAGTGTTTGAGACTTGAGCGTGTTCTTGTGCTTCTGTATATACAGGGAAGCTCTTGCTTCTATTTTCTCTTGAATGAACCTAAAGGTTTTACTTAATACATTGCAATGTAACCTTTTATAAACCACACCTTAAGCTAAGAATTCCAAAGAGATAAATTCTTAAAATCATATTGGTCACTCTCTTTTCTTTTTTTTGATGGTGGTTCATTGAAAATGGCCTTGTCATGTGAAGGAAGTAGTGTTGTGCATCTATCACAGCCCTCAAGGCTGGAACAAGAGTCATTTTCAAAAAGGAAAAGGCTGAACTGAAAAAAAAGAAAAAAATGTCAATAATTCACCTCAAAAGAAGCAGGGGGAGGCACGCTCGTGGCAGTAGGCGTACACAGAGGCTGAGAGGTGGGATCACATTCGCATGACCTCTTCCACCCCCTGAACTGCTGCATTGCTCCCTGCTGTTGAGCTTTATTTTGGGTACGTCAGCCAACCACAGAGCCAGCATCTGTGGCTTAGAAAGTCCTGCCATAAGGCTGCACGTAGGTTTTTTTCTGCTTTTTGTTTTATTCCTCTGGACTGGGCCCTGGAATAGCAAAAAAAAAAAAAAAAACCTAAAAAAAAAACTCTGCAGAACTAGGAAGAAATTTTAACTGTTCTGCATGTTTTCAGGAGTGCTTGTAGTTGTGTTGTGTTTGTCAGGGTGAAGGGAAGGTGAGCAGAGTAGCAGGGGCAGGAGAAGGATGTCAACACTTGTGGAGGTCCCTGGAAGGAACAACCAACTACAGGGCTGTTTTCACTTCCTCAGAAAGACTGCCTTAATGTGTTCCCATTTCTACAGTGATCGCAGCATCTCCAGGCAGCCTCTGAGCTGAAGGTGATGCGCATCTTTTAAAAACCTAGATCCACTGACCAGTCACTTCCAGTACTTCCAGAGAAGCACTACAGGAGCAAAAATACAGCCAAGTAGTTCAGGACCCATAGGAACTGTTATGCTTGTTGTCCCAGCTTGTGTTCCTTCTTGGCCTTGCGTCCTCTCTGATAGTAGCAGGTTAAATTGTGGGCATTTGGATAATGAAAAATACTATTAAAGATATAAAGAAGAAAATAAACTTATTATTGGTAGTAAAGAGAAAGAATGAAATACTCCTTTCACATCACTGTGAGATTTTACTTTTGGCAATAAGGGGTGTGATTTAGTGATGGGTCTCAGTAGGTCAGACTGACAGGCTTGATGAGCTTGGAGGTCCTTTCGCACCTACCTGATTCTATGGTTCTATGGTTCTATGATAGTATGATTGGAGAAGCCCAAGGCAAGAACCAATCTTTGCTATAGAAGCCCTTGATAAAAAGGCATTTTGAAGGAGGCCTATCCTGTCTGAAGGCTGGTGCTGTGGAAATCAGCACTTTTTGCATAGAGCTGCTGAAGCAGGCAGCAATAACAGCAGCAGTTGGTTGGTTGGTTCAGGAGCCATTCTGTATGAACAGCTGCGTGAGTATTTTGTGACTAGAGTAGTCCCTGTGTGCTCTGTTAACATGAGACAAAGTAGAAGGACCATGACTCAGGTGCCCTCGGCTCCATATTTTGGAAAAAGTAAGCCTTGTTTGGAGCAAAATGTGCTCCGAGAGGGAGATGGCTAAACCACAACTGCTTCATAAAGAACCCGTTCTGCAATGAATCACTGCTGGCAGCTGGGAACACATGTTGGTCAGCACTTGGCTCACAATTCTTGACTTCAACTGCTTTCCTAGAGTTCAGCTGGGGAGTTTATTATTAGCTGTCTTGTTGCTGGACCCTGCCATTTGCTTCAAGAAAGCAAGAGATGTGCTGAAGGGTGGAAGGCACACTCGGGCAATTCTCATTTTGGGAAAGAAGTATTTGAAAAGAAGATTGAGCAGTCACCATCCTGCCAGCATGCACTGCTCCCCATTTTCCTGAACATTTCTCTTCTTCCTCCTCAGATACACTAATTTCAGGGAGTGTATTGTGCTACTTTTTAGTCCACCAAACTCTCACTGCTTATATTAATCCAAACACACTGAGCATATCGCAGTAACATTTAAAAATATTCATCAAAGATGCAGACAGCAAAGTCAACACCAGCATGTGTTTACTTCTGAGTGCAGGACAAATTCACCACAGGGAGTCAGGGAGGCCGAGGAAGATGCTCTTTCCAGCTGCCTGGTGCTGTTTGCTTCTTCTCAGTGGGTGCTCCAGATGTGCAGGGATGCAGCCAGAAGGGCACTATCCAGTGTCTCAGGTGCCCGTGGCTCTGGGTTGTGGTGGTGAGAACATAACGAAGGATGTTTCTTATTGCTGTTACTTCATCATAAGTCACTGCCAGGCTGCTTTCAAGTGATCTGCTCCAGATAACAAGCTGTGCCCATCCATGGTTTTCCTCTACCAGATTGTCATCAGTGTTAACCCTTTCCTTAGGCAATGCTTTTGGTTTGTGTATCCCCTACTTCCTCTTTGGGAAAGAAGGAATGAAGAGAGGGCAAAACATGCTTTTCAGAATTATAGGGTTTTTGAGATGCTAAATCTCAGGCTTGAGAGCTCAAATCATAGAATCATAAAGTAATAGAATAATTTGAGTTGGAAGGGACCCTTAAAGACCATCTACTCCAGCTCCCCTGCAATTAACAGGGACACATACAGCTAAATCAGGTGCTCAGAGCCCTGTTCAGCCTGACCTTGAGTGTCTACAGGACGGAGTATCCACCATGTCTCTGGACAGCCAGTTCCAGTGCCTCATTACATTTAACATGAAATATTTTTTTCATTCTATCCAGTCTAAATCTCCCTCTTTTAATTTGAAACTATTTCCCCCTGTCTTATCACAACAGACCCTGTTGAAGACTCTGTTCCTTTTGTTCTTATAGCCCCCTTTTAGATACGGAAAAGCCACTATCAGGTCTCCCTGGAGCCTCCTCTTTTCCAGGATGAGCAGCCTGGTAGATATTAGGATGAGGTTTTGACTCTTCTCTGGCTCTGGACATCAATGAAGGCACAAGAATTAAAGGGAGTTAATGGACTTTTGAGGTAGCATGTCTGATCTACTCAACTTGTGGCATTCCCAGGCAATAGATGCATAGACAATTGCAAATTTAGAATTTCTGTGTTAATGCTTTAGAACTTTAAACCTGCACTTAAAAGAGCAATTAGTGTACAAATTTCAATGTGAAGTTATTCAATGAATAGTTTGAAGCTATACCACAACATGAAATAACTGGGGAAAAAAAGGGAGTGGTCTTTGAACTGATGTGAAGCCCAATTTTAATGTTTCAGAAAGCAGGCTTCCAAGAATAGAGCTGAAAGCCCTGCTGACAATGAGAAACCTCGCAAGGAATAAAAAGACAGGGCCAGTACACTGCAGATAAGCAGAAGACTAAACAGTTTGTGTGAGATAAGGACCCTTTTTTTGCCGTTAAGAAACATAGCCAGAGTTGGAGGCTATCAGTTTGTCCTCCATACTAGGGCCCACCTTGTCCCCTGTCCTCCAGACCATGAGCTGGGATCTTTCATCTCCCATAGGGTATGCTAGTCATGATGTCCAGTCTGTGCAGCAACAGTAACTTAGCTCCTGAGCATCATTCCAGTTCTAAGAATTAAATCTAGGTATTTCTAGACCAGAAATGGACAAATCATCTTGCGAGACAATAATGAAATCTGCTATGCTAGAAAGAGTTGAGAAAAATGCCTCTGGTTTTAAAGTATTCTTGGAAAATATGACAGTTTTTTTGCTGATAAGTTGCTGAGGGGCAGCTGAACTTGATCCATGTGATAACTGCTTTCTCACTTTATATTGTTTTGAATATTTTAGGCAGAGAGAAGCTATATATCAGTTGGTGTGTGTGTATATACAGATGTATATTTATACCTTTGGTAGAATACAAATGGAGAATTTTAGGAGTTTAACAATAAAAGCCTTATGAATGGTTTACAGAGAAAAAAAAATTGATATTTTATAGACTTTCAGAAAGAGCTTAATATGATATATTTTCCTGCCTGTAAGTAACAATTTAAATGTGATTACGGTAATCCTTCTTAAAACTTGTGGCTTGGACTTTTGTGATAGTTCAGGAATAACGTTAACTCATTAACACTGCACAAAAAGCCTAACTTCAGCCTTTAACCCTGGATAAACCCAGGCCATTGTTCACATCTGTAATACCACACGTGGAAAAATGCCTGGCATCAGCATGATGGTGAGCTACATCCACACAAACCTTAAGCCTGTAAGAAAAATAAATAAGTAAAGATCTAATCTTAAGGAATTTATCAACTTTTCTTTATGGTTTGTAAATGACCAGCAAGGGATTTCAGGTGCCACAAGCCACAGAGTTCTCTGGGCATTCTTTCACATGTGTGCCAGTGACACACAATAGTGTGGCTCAGTAATAAGTCAGGAATCACTGTTGTTCACAAAGCCAGAGGAAAGTCTGGCACATTGCTTCCAGGC